GAGGGGCAAAGGATAACGCTTATGCTTGTGCTGTCTCCCCTAGAGGATGCCACCCTTGCTGACCACACCCTTCCCTTCCTCAACCAAGCTCACTTCCTCTTCACCCCAGGCCAGCCATCTCCCAGTATTCCCGGAGTACTTGGAATTTCTGCAAGCACTTCCTGTGTCTATCACCCTTATGAACCTATAATCCGTATTTATTTTCTGTTACTTGCTGTTTTGCATTCATGTATACCTCACAAGAAGGCAATATAGGGCAGTGGTTAGGAACATGGACAACTGAGTCAGACCACCTGGATTTGAATCCCAGCCCCGTAGGTTACTTATTAGCTGTGTGAACTTGGCAAGTGACCTATTTCCTCTCTGTCTCCTCATCTGTGAAAAGTGAATAAAATAGCACCTACGACAGGGCTGCTGAGAAGAGGAGATGACTGAACACCCATAAGGTGCCTAGAACAGTGCCTGGCGCCCAGCAATGCCAGCAGGCGGGAGCCGCTGTTGTCAGAATCACTGTGATCTTCCCTATCTAGGCTGGAAACTCTTGGAGGTATTTCAAACCACAGATACTCTTTTAGATTTCTTTTGCATCCCCTCCCCATTAGTTCCTACAATAGTGTTATTTCGAGGCCCTCAAATATTTGTTGAGTAAATATATGAGCAACTCTTAGATTTGAGCACTTTGTATAGAAGGAAATTGCTGAGCATATGATTGTCACTTACATGGCAACCAGCAAGTAAATGTCCATGGCTGACCTCACCTGGCACTTAAACCTGTTTTGTCAAGAGAGGAGAATATTTGTCTTAAAAATCAGTCTTCTAGAATAGCACAGAAAGGCCTTGCATTTCTACTTAACGAAGCCATACAAGGAAACTGGCTGTGATATATAGTAAGGAAACCTGAGTCACTGGGGGTGAGAACAATGGAACCAGGCTCCTAAGCTTAGTGATTTACCATCAGCCCTTTTGTAACATACTACGTCTGTTTCATATAAAATAAATGCATTAGGTAACACATTTCTCCAAAGTGCTAAATGAGATGCATTTGAAGCCTTAAATAACAGCTGTCATTGTCCATTCCCTGGGGTGTACTGTCCAAGCTGATCTAATGATGGTTTTGTTTCTCTGGAGGTTTAAATGGGTCTGGGGCCTTGTGGGCCAAGAAGGTATAAGTGGTTTAGAAAACAATGAAAACGGCTGGGCGCAGTGGCTCAAGCCTGTAATTCCAGCACTTTGGGAGGCCGAGACGGGCAGATCACGAGGTCAGGAGATCGAGACCATCCTGGCTGACACGGTGAAACCCCGTCTCTACTAAAAATACAAAAAACTAGCCGGGCGAGGTGGCGGGCGCCTGTAGTCCCAGGTACTCGGGACACTGAGGCAGGAGAATGGCGTAAATCTGGGAGGCGGAGCTTGCAGTGAGCTGAGATCCGGCCACTGTACACCAACCTGGGCGGCAGAGCGAGACTCCGTCTCAAAAAAAAAAAAAAAAAAAAAGAAAACAATGAAAACACCCATCTTTTCGATGCCATCCTGCAGACTCTTCCTGCCTTGAATGTTCAAGCTCTCCCTCTTGGCTGGAGCTATCCCATCAGCATTTTAACATGCTCAGGTTTCTCTCATCTTAAAACAAACAAAAATGCACCCCTCAGCCACTATTGCTCTTCTGTGCACAGCCCAATTGCGGGAGGAGCAGTATACACTTTTTAAGCCATTTTCTCACTTCCCACCTGCTCCTCAATCCATTCATTCCGCTTTTGCTCCATCAACCCACAAAAATGCACAGCAACTGACTTCCACGCCACTAAACCCCATGTCCTGTTCTCACTTCTCTCTCGAGGAGCCTCAGAGCCTCTCTGCATTTCTCACCCGAACTTCCTTATTCCTATTCCCAGCTTGCAGTTTATAACGTCAGCAAAGAAGGCGTAACTGTCCACGCCTTTCTGCTACATAGGCACACATATAATCCATAGCCATGTGCGTTTATACATTTGCCTCTTCCGAAATTATTGGTCAAATTACTTTATGATTTCCTTTTTTTATTTGACAATATATCCTAGACAGTCTATAAATCAGAACATGCATTTCTAGCTCTATCTTTATTTATTTTTTTATTTTAGTATATAAATGTATGTATATTCAGACATAACTTTGTTAGGTTAGCACGTTAGATCAAGTCATTACAAATTACAGAGAAAAACTAGACTTTGCATCGGGGGTTCTCTTTAGAGTTTCCAGTGGGGCAGGGATAGTAGTGGTGGAAATTGTGAGTGCACAGATTTCAGCTCAATATGATTTAGAGTGAGCATAATTTACCCTGGTCTCAGGCCCCATCCCACTAGAGCCACATTTTTTTTTTTTGAGATGGGGTCTTACTTTGTTGCCCTGGCTGGAGGGCACTGGCAGGATCTTAGCTCACTGCAGCCTCCGCCTCCCAGGTTCAAGTGATTCTCATGCCTCAGCTTCCCCAGTAGCTGGGATTATAGGTGCACGCCACCATGTAACCAGCTAATTTTTGTATTTTTAGTAGAGATGGGGTTTCACCATGTTGGCCCAGCTGGTCTCTAACTCCTGGCCTCAAGTGATCTGCCCACCTCGGCCTCCCAAAGTGCTGGGATTGCAGGTGTGAGCCACTGTGCCTGGCCCCATTAGAACCATTTTATCTTTAGAGTCGCTAAGCAGCTAACTGAAAAGAGTGGTTTCATTTTCTGTGTTTTGGGTCTAAATATTAAATGAAAGAACATTTACATTGCTAAGCAAGATAAGGTATGACTGCAACACCTTGCAAATAATTTTGCTGTCTCCTTCAAAGCTGTCACCTTGGGAAGTGATAACCACATTCCAACAACAGTGTTACTTCTCAAAGGATTCTTGGAAATTTTCTTTTAGCCTAAGATCTGTCACTCTCTTTCTTCCCTCCAACTTTGAAAGATAGTTATAAATGTAATGCTTGCCGCCGGTGAAAGCTGAGTAAAATCCAAATAAGCCTGGCTGTGCCCGGACTGCCCCTGCTGACACTGGCGAGGTGCAGTGAGGCCTACCCGGGAGAAGGAGCCCCCCATCTGCTGCCATCTGGTTCATCACAGAGTCCCATTTGGCCCAAATGACAGATTCTTTCCTTATAATTTTCCAACTAAGCCTCTTCTAGGAATCTTCTGAAAATTCTAGTTATCACAAGTATTTTCAAACATCAACCTCTTAAAAGAGTAGCAAAAGTCCAGAAGATTACAAGACTTCTGTGTTTGTTCATTTATAGTAGACAATTGCTTTCAGAAGGAAATTTCCAAAAGTTGAGTTCTCATCATTAACTAGAACAGTTGAACAAAATGAATTTTCCCTTATAAGATAAAAACAGGATTCATAGCAAAAACAAAGCAAAACGAAAAACCAAAGCAAACCGGAAAACCCAAAGGGATGATACAAGAAGGAAAAAAAACAGATCTCGAGAGGAACTTCTGGACACAATGAAAAAAAGCTGTTAAAAACAAATAATTAAACGTTAATTTAAACTATCATTTAGAATGATATTGAAGGGCCAGGCACAAAGGAGGTGTGACTCATTATAATCTAAAGAAGGCTGCCTGAGTCTGGGAACTGCCTAGGGGCTGGCAAACAATGGCCCAAGTGTCAGGTGCCTGCTTTCATATGCCCGCCAGCTAAGAATGATTTTTGTGTTTTAAAATATTTGAAAAAAGATTTAATGACGTAAAAAAAATTGTATGAAATTCAAATTTTCAGTGTCCATAGTTTTACAGGAACACGGCCACGTTTGGCCACTTATGTACTGCTGACAGCCACTGCGTTACAGCAGCAGAACTGAGTGGCTGGAACAGAGACTGTGTGGCCTGCAAGCCCTAAAATAGCTCCTATCTTTTCCTTTACAGAAAGCGTCTGCCGACCTCTGTTCCAAACCCAATTTTACCACCATCAACTCTTTGTGTGAGCTCAAGCTGGTGTTTTCCCTCTGACTCCACCTATGTAAACAAAGGGGCCTGGAGAAGATGATAGGGGCCAGGACCCCTATCTGGAGGTCAAGCTCTGCACTGCGGGACACGGCAGGAAAAGCCAGCAGGAGCACGCGCCCGCTGATGCCACCTGCAGCCCATGAAGAAAACAGCAGGCACAGAGGCCGCCTGCTGAGGAAGCATCTCCCAGCAGATCTCAGCACATCCTCTCTAGCGGGGGCTCTTAAATACCTCTTTCCCAACTGATGCCATCAGTGATCAAAAACCTGGCTTTTACACATTTCAGAAACTGACAGGCCCCGACTCCAAACAAAAAACATCGTCTGACATCCACTTTTTCAGTGAATGCTCCCCGCGAATGAAGGCAGGCAGATCAAGTATGACCAGAGGGGACAACAGGTCTTTTCCTTCTGGGTCTCTGAAGGAAAACCATGTAAAATCTTGTCATCTGAAAATCCAACTACAGTCCCCGAGTCACCATTCTTTACGTCATTTCAGAGACTCACATACATTAACTTCTAAACCTTCATGCTCTAAAACACAAGCAAGTAGATTTTTCACAGCTGAGGAAACACAAATCAAAAGAATGCAAATAACAGAGAAAACTGGTCAGTTCCGTTAGCTCTGAACTAAACCCAGGACCCCTCAAGCCAGAGACTCTCGCCAGGCACCGACGCGCCCAGCACTCCCACCGCTGAGGAAGACAGGCCAAGGCTCGTGCCCCTTCAGAGCAAAAGCTCACACAGAAGAATGGTCATTGTTCAGCTTCCCATGAAACCCGAATGGCGGGCAATGCTGCGTCTCTGCTGTGAACCCAGGGAGTGTGGGAGTCTTCAAACATGGCCACTGGGCTCTCCACATGAGACCCCAAGTGAGACCTGAACCCCCACCCAGCGGAGCTTTAGCCAACCCCCAGAATTGTGAGAAACAGTGTAGCAGGAATGAAAAATCTCCATTTCTGGACTAACTTGTCAAGGCAGGAAAGAGAGAATAGTTTGATAAGAGTTTTCTATGTGGTGTCAGGAACCTCCAACTTACTTCATCATCTTCATCTTCATCATCATCAGATTCAAGAACGCCATCTGGTAGCTCTTCTATAAAGAAAAAAAGAATCAATGAATCATGGATAAACAGTGGGAGCACCGGTCCACGGAATCTGTCAGCCTCTGCAGAGACAGAAACATCTTTTTTTTTTTTTTTTTTTTTTGAGACGGAGTCTCGCTCTGTCGCCCAGGCTGGAGTGCCGTGGCCGGATCGCAGTGGCCGGATCTCAGCTCACTGCAAGCTCCGCCTCCCGGGTTTATGCCATTCTCCTGCCTCAGCCTCCCGAGTAGCTGGGACTACAGGCGCCCACCACCTCGCCCGGCTAGTTTTTTTGTGTGTTTTTTTTTAGTAGAGACGGGGTTTCACCGCGTTAGTCAGGATGGTCTCGATCTCCTGACCTCGTGATCTGCCCATCTCGGCCTCCCAAAGTGCTGGGATTACAGGCTTGAGCCACCGCGCCCGGCCGGCGACATAAACATCTTAATGAGAATGAGGTTACATTAAAGTCATCATACTCCTAATCATCCTAATCACAACCATTTCAGTCACTGTCTGATACCATCCTAAGCAATTTTAAAGAGTAAATCTCTCCATTTTTACCAGAACAGTTATAGTAGCATGGGAAAAATTAAAAGCCAGCATATAATTTTAGAGGAATTTAAGGGAACGAAAGTATATAAATATTTATATCTAGGCATCATGCTAGATCCTGCCACACCCGTTATTTCACTTAATCCTTACAAATATTTTGTTGACTATCATCCCCCATTTTACAGAGAGACACAGAGAGGACAGAGACTTCTTGGTCTCACTTCCAGTAAGTGGCAGACAGTTGAGATTCAAACCGAATCTACTTCTAAACTCCATGATTTTTCCATGGGCAGTATGGGTGGTGGTCACGGCAGGTAGGGTTCCTGAAGGCTCTGTGGTCCATTGCTAGGTCTTTTTAAGAGTTTACAAAAGAGCAGTAAGTTGGTAGCACAATGGAGTTACAGAAACAAAGAGCCCCTGCTTCCTCCTCTGTAGAATAAGGATCGTATCAGTCACTTCTCAGGGGTCAGGAGGACTGCACAATACACCACAAGGGAAGCGCCTGGCCTAGGGCCAGGTATGAAGCAGGCTCTACGGAGGTGCTGGTACTTTCTCCTCCACGAAGTCTTCCCTGATCCCCTTGCTCAGCAGCCATCTCTTCCTCCCCTGAACACACTCAGCGTTTTATCTAGAACTCCTGACAATTCACGCCACTGCTGGAAGATTGCTGCTTACTAATGAGTGAATGCCTGCTGACTTGTCTCTCACCCACTGCACTGGACTGTGAGTCCCTGGGGACAGAGCAGCTGACTTACTCCTCCCTCTATCCCTACTACATCTTTCTTATTATCACTTGTTTCTTGAACAAATGACATGAAGGTAAAGAAAGGCTGAAAGAAGAAAGGAAGTCAAATGGGAAGTAGGAGAAAAGAAGGAACCAAAGGCCATACTTGAGGAGAGCACCCAGCTTGTAAAGGTGGCAGGCAGGATGCACCCACATTTGATCAAACATCAAACCATTCCCAGGAAGGAAGATGTAGAAACCCATGTTCTCAATCTAGCGCTCATTCTAAAGGGAAGGACTCCACTGACTTCACTGGACCGAGGCCAGCGGGACACCAAAATGTGCCCCTGCTCACTGAGGCTTGCAGGCCCCACGGGTCATAGCATTGTTGTGCAATGCCATTTAGTCTAGAAAGCGACTTTCCAGGCATGAAGATGTGATGCCACTCTGCTTTCTGCTGAGGTTTAATGACTAACTTCCCTATCCACGAACAGCATACGCCATTCCACTTTCAGGAAGTGCTGCTGTACTCATCAGTTATAAACCGCTCATTTTCGAAAACAGAAATGCCTTTTTTAAGACTCTTGGCTATTTTGTAAGGCCACAGATAGCCCAGCCACGCTTCTCTTTCTCTGCCTCCCCCTGCCCAGCTCCCCTTCTCCTGACCCCATAACCTCTTGGCCTGCTGGCTCAGACTTATCCCACTACCCAGAATAATCCTGTCCTGAGAAGTGAAGTGCCTTATAGACCTCAGCACCTCTCTGGGACAACTGTCTCCTATCCTGTTCCCTGAGTTGGTGCACACTCCACGAGGTGCCCACACTCTGATAACTAACGCGCATGGGGCTAGAATGGCATCATTCCTTTCCCGGGGGCTCTGCCTTGCTCCTGCCCAGTGACATGGCTGGTGCCTCTGTTTTCTCTCTGGCGCTGGTTCCCCTCACTGAGGGCTGGCATTGTGGTCCAGGCCCAAGCCTGGGGACAAATCTCCCTGCTGTTGTTGTTGGCAGCTCACCCTGCGTTGTCAATGTCACCAGCTGGAATTTTCCTTTAGGCTTTGCCAGAATAGTCCTTCCCCACCCGTGGGGTTAGGTCACTAAAATATACTTGAATTTTAATACTTGAAGACCTTAAAACTTCACTGGAAAAATTGTGCTAGAAGACTGAGATTGGACTTGGACGTGTGAAAACCCACAGAGATGTTTTCAAGTTTATTAAAATAGAACAAGGAAACCAATACTCTAAATAAAGATGGTGGCAATGCCATTTCACACATCTTAAGAACTGGTACACTAGCAACAATTTGCACTCTGCTATTGATTTCCACTTGAGGATGAAGACAGGCTGGAGGCTCTCCTCCTGGGTTTCACTTTGATTTGATGCTGGTGATGGATGTCGCGAGGTAGTTGTGTGTCTGGTCTTCCACCTGAATGTTTAATCACTATCAAATTTTGTTTCAAAGTGGCGGGCTCCTGCTGCTGTCCTATGGATACAGAATAACTTAGGTGCTTGAGATAGAAAGAGAAATACTTTAGGCCCTCTTTATTTAAACAATAACTTACTGAACTAAATAGGTATTTCCCAAGCCTTCCAGAACACCCAGGGTTATAAAGCTTTAGCTCTGCCCAAGACAATTTCTTCCAGAGACATCCCTTACAAAAGTATAAACTGTCCCCTTATCCCACTCTAGCAGACCGGTCCAAGGGCCAGGCTTATGAAAGAGAAAAATGATGTTTCTTGGGTCAGAGAGTAAAAGGGGCCTATCTCCTGCTTCTTGGCTGCCAGGAAGGAGGGAAGACAAGGAGACAGATGTATCTCAGTGGACTAAAACACACAGGTGGCCTTGAAGAAGATTCTCAGCCTGAATGCACAGAACTCCTGGCCTGGGAGGGCTAGGCACAGCTGATGACTATGGCACGGATGTGCAACAATCCTCCGCCCCTACCCTGTGGCCTACCCAGACAAGGCGGGAGAGCAACCTCAGGCAGGACTGAGGTTCAGGTTTTATTTTATTCTTTTTCAATACGCCAGAATGAGGGTTGAGAGTCAGAAATAAAGTTACTGCAGAAAATAAAGTTCTAATTTTTGCCCACCTGAATTTGGGATGAATTATAGCTGTTCCATAAAACCCAAAGAAGAGATATTCAATGCAAATGCGCACCCAGCCTTAAAAGGACAAAGGTTTCAAAGCTCCCTGGCTGCTCTCCTCAGCTGCCTCCTTTTCATCGGGAGCCCCTTGGACATCCTCGTTTCTGCGACCCAGGCAGTGATGCTCTGCCTTGGCTGCACATGGGACCCCCACTGGGAGCCTGAAATCCCCTCCCTGAGAGGTTCTGATTTAATTTATGTGGGGTACTGTCTTAAAAGATTTAAACATCCCCCCCGGTGACCGCCCTGTACAGCCAGACCGAACCCCGAGCTAGAATAAAGGCCACCTGGGGGCTTCTGGCCTTGGCCGAGTAGCTGACTCGAGACTCACTCTTCACTTTCTGCTCATGTGCGGAAGGGATTCACGCATGCGACTTGCAGTGATGTGGACTGATGGGTGTCAGGGAAGGGCATGGAGAGAGACTCGGTGACAAACCTGGCCCTGGATTCCAGCAGTGCTTGGCACCTCTGGCAGGAGAACGATGTCAGGAGTCTGCAGAAAGAGCCAAAGAACTTTCCCCACGACCTCTGCCCCATCCCAGGCTTCCTGGCCTTCCTGTCTCCTGCTGACTATGGGATGTGGGTTGTTATGGTAATGGAGGAGACTGGATAGAAAGAGGATCACATTGCCTCCTTCCACACTGCAGTTGGCAGCATCAGTGTTTCCGGAGTGAATGAATAAAAGTGGGAAAATGATGAAGTTTCCTACAGTAGCATTTGCTTTCATTATCGAACCCCTGGACCCTGGGGAAGCCACCTTAATAGTGAGTCAGGATTTAGGAGGGGAAAGGGAGAGGCCACATAAAGAGAACTTACAAGGTTAGGGAAGGGTTTCTGTAATTGCTTTTAAGTTTTTTTTTGTTGACTATATGCCTAGAGTATGATAAGAGATTGTTAATCTTTGGACAATCTGGCCTTGACTACCTGGCTGAACCTTTTTTTTTTTTTTTTTTTTTGGAGATGGAGTTTCACTCTGTTGCCCAGGCTGGAGTGCAATGGCGCGATCTCGGCTCACTACAACCTCCACCTCCCAGGTTCGAGCGATTCTCCTGCCTCAGCCTCCTGAGTAGCTGGGACTACAGGCATGCGCCACCACGCCCGGCTAATTTTGTATTTTTAGTAAAGATGGGGTTTCACCACATTGGTAAGGCTGGTCTTGAATTCCTGGCCGCAGATGATCTTCCTGCCTCGGCCTCTCAAAGTGCTGGGATTACAGGTGTGAGCCACCGCGCCTGGCCTACCTGGCTGAACTTTTGTCTGTGGGTTCACTTGGGTCTCCCCACCTCCCTAAAGGCCTTTTTTTTTTTTTTTTTTTTTGAGATGGAGTCTCGCTCTGTCACCCAGGCTGGAGTGCAGTGGTGCAATCTCAACTCACTGTAACTTCTGCCTCCTGGGTTCAAGCAATTCTCCTGTTTCAGCCTCCTGAGTAGCTGGGACTACAGGCCAAGTCACCACACCTGGCTAATTTTTGTATTTTTAGTAGAGACGGGGTTTCACCATGTTGGCCAGGCTGGTCTCGAACTCCTGACCTCATGATCCGCCCACCTCGGCTTCCCAAAGTACTGGGATTACAAGCATGAGCCACCGTGCCCGGCCTCCTAAAGGCCTCTTGAATGAAATGCCATGTGTCTTTCTGGCAAATGTGAACAATGCAAAAGACAGATCAAAGATTCTTGCATCAAACTGACCGGAATTAAGCTGCTTGATGATGAATTCTATCTGGCGGATCATTTCAGCGTTGCCTTCTTTGATGAAGCAGCGTAGGATGTCTTCCATTCCCTAGAAGTATTGGCGAGAATAACAGTTAACATTTCAGTGTTTTGGGGGAAACTACGTTTCAATGAGGTCATCTCATCTAATCCAAAAAGTAGTATTTTGGGGAGAGGAAGAGGATATCTTGGGTGGGGGATGGAGAAGAGGAGAGAGCTATCTTTATGAGATAGATACAAAAATTCAGCTCTCCCAGCAGGGCAGGGCCAAGGCAGTCATTGGTTGGTAACTATCTCTTTGGCAACACAAACCTGGCCAGGTGTCCAACTGGTCCCACAAGGGCAGAAGGAAAAATCCTTGGCTTATATTAAACATTCTTTTTGTTCTTTTTATAATTCATAGTGAAATAAGTTTCTTCTTATTGACTCTCTGGCTGAATTATAACACATTTACCAAAAACAAAAACAAAAAAAAAAACCGAAAAAACTATTGTAAAATTTTACTGTACAATATTGCCTTAAGTTTTGGCAATATGTTGGTCTGGGGCTCGGTTTTTTTCTATGTTTTCCCTAAATTTATAAACTGTCTTCTGGATTTTAGGGCCAAATATGATTGTTGAGAAGTGAAACCATATGCTTAGAGAAGTAAATGAACAAATAGAACCTCTCTTTAAACAGATTTCATTCTTTTTCTATTAAAAGAGTTATAAAGTCACTACACTATACATTGTTTATAATAATACCCTGACACCAGAATTCTCAATACTAGCTAAAAGAATTCCAGGGAAAAGTAGGGATGAGATATTGACTTAAGCACATCATCTAATTCCTCTCCCTCCTCTTCCCTGGCAGGATTTGAACGAGTCTGTACAGCTTGAGCTTACGAGGCCTCTAACCGCTGTGAGGGGAAAGTGCTTCTAGTAATGACCTCAAAACAGAGGAAGTGGAGTCCAGAAGTACTGCCAGAGAAATGGATCTAGTGGCATGTGAGCCCCTGATCAAACTGTGCCTGAACATTTTCCTGGACTTTTCAGTTACATGAGTCAATAAGTTCCCTTTTTATGTAGGCCAGTTTGGAATCAATAGCTCTAACTGAATCAAGGAAATGCCAAGTGCAGCTTTGAACTTGCTGAGTTCTTGTCATCCAAAGCAGAGCACTACCTTCTAGAAAAGTTAAATCAGTATTGTAATTGCAATTAGTTCCCTCATGAATTTAATGTGTGACCTCACTCAAATCACTTAACTTCATCTAGCCTGTTTCTTCGACTATAAAAATGAGGATAACAATTTGAGTTGACTTGAAATTTTTAAAAGACAAAGTATATAACTGGGTGTTGGTATGCAGATATACACATTTGTCAAGATGTGCTAACTCCCCCATGTAAGGCCTGTGCTTTTCACTGTTTGTAAATTATACCTGAAGAAATAGCCTCTAGTCCAATGGCTGGCACAGAGTGGACGCCTGATAAATGGTCAAGATTGTGCTTGCTGTGTCCAGTAGGGGTTCGTGGCTCAGGAGAGAGATCTGGGAGCTGAAGCAAAGGGAAGAAACAAGGTTCCCCAGTGATGGCAGTGAGAGAACAGCAGAGGGTGAGGATAGAACCTTAGGGAACAGTCACACTGAGCTGGGAGGCAGAGATGGGTAAGCTCACAGAGGCGGAGGGGACAGTCTGGAAGGAAGAACTCTGGAAAGCTGTCCGTGAGCTGAGGGACCAGCAGTGCCCAGGCTCCTGTAGGACCATCTGGACATCTGGCCAGGCTTGTCGTCCCAGAGAGACAGTTACCAACCAATGACTGCCTTGGCCCTGCACTGCTGGCAGAGCTGAACTGTATATCTCACAAACGTGTCTCTCCCCTCTTCTCCATCCCCCACTCAGTATCAGGACCACAGGAAGGAGACAGTTATCAAGCAAAAGCAGTGTGATAAGCCCCTTGTAAAAATTTTTACTTATTTATTTATTTTTTGAGATGGAGTCTTGCTCTACTACCCAGGCTGGAGGGCAGTGACATGATCTCGGGTCACAGCAACCTCCAACTCCAGGGTTCAAGTGACTCTCCTGACTTAGCCTCCCAAGTAGCTGGGACTACAAGCATGTACCACCATGCCTGGTTAATTTTTGTGTTTTTAGTAGAGACGGGGGTCTCGCCATATTGGCCAGGCTGGTCTCGAACTCCTGACCTCAGGTGATCTGCCCACCTTGGCCTCCCAAAGTGCTGGATTACAGGTGTGAGCCACCATGCCTGGCAATAAGCCCTTAAAGTGGCAAAGATCAGAAGTGCCACTGGCTATCTCAGGAACGTCAATGTCTGAGCATTTTTACCAGTGGAGCGAGGCCAATCATTCACTCAGGGTCTATCTTTTCTTACCAGACGTTACTTCTGCAAGATTATCTGCTCATTATTTGGTTATATATTTAAAGATCTTTGTTTGTTTGTTTTTGAGACAGACAGGATCTCACTTTGTTGCCCAGGCTGGAGTGTAGTGGTGTGATGACAACTCATAGCCTCAACCTCCCTGGCTCAAGCGATCCTCCCACCTCGGCTTCTGGAGTAGCTGGGACTACAGGTGTGCACCACCATGCCTGGCTAATTTTTAAAAAATTATCGGTAAGACAGAGAATGCCCAGGCTGGTCTCAAAACTCCTGGCCTCAAGCGATCCTCCCGCCTTGAACTCTCAAAGTGCTGGGATAACAGGCATGAGCCACCATGCCCAACCAGACCTTTTTATTCTCATTTACTCTCTTTCATGTATCTCTAGCGTAGTTATTACTTGGAGGCCATGGCGGGGAGCTCCTCTGTAATGAAGAATTGAAGCTGTCTTGTTTTTAGAGACAGAGTCTCACTATGTTACCCCGGCTGGAGTGCAGTGCCACAATCTCAGCTCACTGCAATCTCCGCCTCCCAGGTTCAAGTAATTCTTGTGCTTCAGTCTCCCAAGTAGCTGGGATTACAGGTGTACACCACCACGCCTGGCTAATTTTTAAAAAATTATTGGTAAGACAAGGAATGCCCAGGTTGGTCTCAAAACTCCTGCCCTCAAGTGATCCTCCTGTCTTGGCCTCTCAAAGTGCTGGGATTACAGGCATGAGCCACCATGCCCAACCAGACCTTTTCATTCTTATTTACTCTCTTTCATGTATCTCTAGCATAGTTATCACTTGTGGGGTTGGGGGGGGGGAACTCTGTAATGAAGAATTGAAGTTTTTTTTTTGTTTTAGAGACAGAGTCTCACTATGTTACCCAGGTTGGAGTGCAGTGCCACAATCACAGCTTACTGCAACCTCCGTCTCCCAGGTTCAAGTAATTCCTGTGCCTCAGCCTCCCAAGTAGCTGGGATTACAGGTGTGCACCACCATGCCTAGCTAATTTTTGTATTTTTAGTAGAGATGGGGTTTCTCCATGTTGGCCAGTCTGGTCTTCAAGACCGGTTCAACTCGTGACTTCAAGTGATCCACATGCCTCAGCCTCCGAAAGTGCTGGGATTATAGGCATGGGCCACTGCACCTGGTCTGAAGCTTTCTTAATAGCAAATTCTCCAGTGAGAAATATCTTTTTTTTTTTTTTGGAGACAGGGTTTTACTCTGTTGTCCAGGCTACAGCGTAGTGATGTGATCACAGCTCACTGCTGCCTCAACCTCCTGCACTCAATTGATTCTCCTGCCTCAGCCTCCCAAGTAGCTGGGACTACAGGCACGTGCCACCACACCTGGCTAATTTTTGCATTTTTTGTGGAGATGGGGTTTCACCATGTCACCCAGGCTGGTCTTGAACTCCTGGGCTCAAGCAGTCTTCCTACCTCAGCCTCCTAAAGTGGTGGGATTACTGGTGTGAGTTGTATGCCCAGTCAAAATATCACATATTTTTAAAAAATCACATACATTAGGTAATATTTAATCTAAGTTATAGAAAGAAGTCATAACCGCATCTCATCCTAAAAGTAATAACTTCTCATTTCAGATAATTTAGGTGAAGTAACAACACCCAGGTAGACCGAAGGATAACAAAAGGTCCTAGTGAATCATCCAGATGCGTAAAAATGGTTACACAAGCAGTATGCAAAAAGTAAATAAGGAACTCCTGTTCCTGGCAGCTAGCTATGATTAAAGACCGCCATAAAGATAATCCTACAGAAGCCTGTATTTGTGTGTATAGTGTTTAAGAAAACAATTTGTCATGTGCAGACGTCTGACTAGGTGAAAGTCCCAAGCCTGGAGTGACACTGCGGCACAGGTGCAGAGGGCTCTGGAGTCAAACCGTGGTTAGCAGCCCCTCGCTGGCCGTGTGGCCCCGGGCAGAGGATTTCACCTTTAAGCCTTGATGTTGTCAGCAGCAAAAGGGGCACCAATACAGTCCCTCCTTCAGGGCACCTTTGAGGGATTAAATGAGAGAAAGCATCTCTTCCAGAGACTGACAACACACACTCAACACTACATAGAACAACTAACTTCGAACTCACTTCTACTTTTACTCAACTGAACTCTAGCGCATTCTATCGTTCCAGCTTCACAGTCTAATCCTTCATCACTAAAGGTCTTCAAGGGAAATTTTCCCTTGAGAAATTCAAATATCTATTTCAGGTAGATATGAATATTTTCCTCTAGTTATGAAAGTGATACAAGTTCTGTAAAGAAAACTTGCAAACACCATACAAGAAAGAATAAAAATTACTCACAGGCCCCCACCCAGAGATAATTGGGAACATTTTGAAGTATTTCCTTCCTTTTATGTGCATTGTTTTACATAACTCAGAACATATTGATATTATGTTGTTTATTTAACTTTATGATTATTTTCATGTTTGATAAAAACCTTATAAACCACATTTTCATAGCTATAATAATAATAGCAGCTAACATCTCTCAGTGCTTACTGTGTGCTAGGCACTATTCTAAATACTTTATATTATGAGCTCCTTTAATGCTTACAATTCTGTGAGTTTAGTACTGCAACAATCCTCATCTTACAGATGGAAAAACGATCACACTGAGAGCTTCCAACTAGGAAGTGGCAGAACATGATTCAAAGCCAGGCTCAGGCTCAGGAGTACCCACTCTCAACCACTCCACCTT